TATTGTTGCCCTTCGTCGGTTCATCGATTAGCTATCAATGTGTTATCGAATATTTGTCATTTGTTTGTGTTTTGTGCTTGACACGCCGCGCACTTGGGGGTCTTCGCCTTGGCTAGTGCCCAAGGGTCTATTAGGTCATCCGAAGTCGTGGGACAGCCCTTAAAGTCAACCGTTAGCAGGGCGCTCAGTCAAGCTAAGCCACGCCTAGACCCAGTTGCTATTAACCAGTTACCTGTTAACAGTTACAGTTACACTTAAAGGCACTTTCGCAGCTGGCTGAAAAGCAACCCCCATATCAGGAAAAGGGCCCAAACTATGTACAAAGTGAATCACACACAAATAACTAAAAGCCCCATTCCGCTGGCAAAGCGGAATGCGTTGCCAAAGGAAATGCTCAACAAAGACTCGGCGAATCTGATAGAAAAGGTAACAACAACAGTAACAGTAATGGCAACAGCAGCAAATGTAACAAAAACAAAGAGCGGTATATAAGGAATTGCCAAAGAGGCGCAGAGACGCCCGAGCAGAGTCAAGTCGACTTGAGCAAGCAGAGCCGCCGCTCTCGCTCTAACAGCCGCTCTCCCTCGTCCACTTCCACTCGAGCAAAGCATAAATTATCAGCACAATGGGCAACAGTCAAGGCAATGGCAAAGGCAAAGGCAACGGGAAAGGCAACGAGAAGAGGCACAGGGAAAGGCAAAGACAAGAAGCGCAGAGACACAGGCAACAGGGCAAAGGAATGCCAAATGACAACAACAAAGGCGCAAGCACAAAGGGGGTGGGTTTGCTTTGCATGCGAAGCTAAGCAGAGCGGCAGACAGAGACGGAGTGAGAGCAGAGGCCAAGGCAGAGTGAGGGACGCACAGAATGAGCAAAAAAAAAGCATGCCCGGGCCAAAGTCTATTTTAATTTTGACGTAGTTAGTGACACAGAACGTTTGGCCAAAACAAATGGCAACAAATGTGCTCTAGCAGTATGCCAGACTAGCAGATACCCTGTAAAAGTCGATGTAATGCAATAACTTTTTTATCTACAGCGCGATTTTGCTGGAATTTGCAGAGTTTGTTTAGCAAAATGATATCTCTTAAGAAAATATATTTCAAAGTGGGGTATATAGGTGGACTATAATTTTTTACTTTAAGCAAATCTCATATCATATGAAAAATTACTTTTAACACACTTTGTTATATTTACAGGGTATCTACAAACTTTATCATATTCAAATTATCATTGAATATTACCTTCATGCTTATCTCTTGTCATTATCATAACCATATACTCTATTAATTTAATCCTTATCTCTAATCTATGCAATTGCCACTCTATGCATATAAAGCTGACCTTCTCGCATTTGCTGAAATGTTTCCAGGGTATTCAAAGGGCGTCGCAGGCAAAGCAGCAGACAGTCGTAGCCAGTGCTAAAGGCAGCTCAAGTGTCCTATTCGCTTTGAACATGTTGCGCCTGCTGCTGGTTTGGCTAAGTATTTGTATCTGTGTGTGTGTGCGTCGGTGTATCTGTAGCAGTTACACAGATAGCGAGGAAATCGTATCTGTATCTGTGTAGCGCAGACTTGGATTTCGACTTTGGTGTGGCGCGTGGGCAGCGAGGCATAAGAATGCCGCCTCATGCCACAAGCGGCAGACAGTGGTCCGTCCGGCTCCACGCTGTGGGGGCCCGCAACAAAGTAACACAGAAAATTGTTGCACGTTAACGGTAAGGACAGCTCAAAGGGCGTATTAGCTATGGCAAGCAATTGGATATTGGATAAAAATGATAAACTTAACATTAAAGATACTTTTTATTGAAAACGTGGCTGAAGAGAAAAAAAAAGGAAGTTGTATAGCCTAGAAAATAAATGTAGTCACAGATACTGTGGAAATATTTCTACAAAGCTGTACGGCATAGGGTAAAAGGGAATATATACCAAGGCATGGTAGACAATATCAGCTATACCTATGGCTAGTATACCCTACAATAGTCTTATAGAAGTTGCCAACTTGCGCTGCTGCTTTAACTAATAGTTGTTTATATGGAAAGGTTAAGGTATATGAAAAGTAAGGTATCCACTATGGCACAATATTTTATCATAGGGTATTCCCTTTTCGTCTTGTCCCAATAGTGGCAAATCTGAAATTTCTTGTTAATAAGTTTCAAACTGCGGCTCTAACAAGTCTGTGTAACAAGTAACGTGGCAACGGCTGCGAATGCTCGACTGTCTTGTCTGCTCAACAGCAGTTGCCGCCTACCCACACACACACACACACACAGAGACACATATACACACACTCATACAAGTCGCTGTTGGTGAAGTGACGTTAAAGTATCTGCGCATTCGCTTTGAGTATCTACATCAAAAAGTTGACTTGCTTTGTATTTGTATCTATAGCTGGGTCTGTCTCCGTGTGTATGTGTGAGCGCCAAAAGTTCATGTGGACCCAGGCAACCACCTCAGTCGCCCCCTCCCTCCATCACCTCTCACTGTTTATGTGTATATATACATAATTTTGTTGTTTTGTCTCGTTTTCTCCTCACAGCAGCTGCAGCAGCTACGACTCGCGCTAGCTAGGCGCGTGTGTGTGTATGTGTGCGCTTGGGGATTACGTAAGGGAATCCCCAACATTTGCAGCGCAGTCAACAACAGCAGCAACAACAGCAAACAACAACAACAAGAACAGCAGCAGCACCTAAAACGAACGAAGCGAAGCGCTGAACTGCGTCAGAGTCAGTTGCATGTTTTATGCATGAATTGTGCTGCTGCCACGCCTCCGCCGTCCCCTTCCCGCCACCACGAGCCAGCTGTAGCCCCAGCTAACCGCCACAGCCGCCCTTTAGCAGCTTCAACTCTGTGCGCAGCAAAATAAAATATAAAAAACAGCAGAAGAAGAAGAAAACGCAAATAAAGTATCTTATAGATACTTTTGTGTATGTTGTGGGGCTCGGTGGGGGCTGTGTGTGGGGGCGTGGTGCTGTGTAACAAGTGCGCGCTTGGTTGAGTTTCAAGTAGAAACATTGCTGCAAGCTGCCACGCCCCCCACCGCTGCCCATACGCCCACTGGCAGCAGCAGCAGCAGCAGCGCGACCTCCTGCAGTTTTACAGTTGCTTTTGCTTTTCTTTTTGTTTCACTCGCTCTTACTTCTTCTCCCTCTGTCTCTCTCTCTCCCAGCTTTTCCTTCTTCATTTTTTTATAGTTTGCAAACTGTAAAATATTTTACTTTGTCGTAGAACTTTTGCCTGCTTGCAAAAGTGGGCGTGGGTGGCGGGTGGGTGGGCGGCGCAATAGGGTGGGGGCGTGTTCGGTTACTTTTGCATATTGTATTCGTTTTTTTGTTGTTCAACTGAGTTTAAAGCGCGGCCAAAAAGTAATCTTTTAGCTGTAATTGAAAATGTCTGTTTTGCACCCTCTCTCTCTTTCTCTCTGTCTCTTGCGCCCTCTCACCCTCTCTCTATCTCTCTTGCGCGCGCTCTATCAATGTATCTAGCTCGCTCTTGGCTTTTCTATTTCTATTAACATTTGTTGCCTGTGGTGAACTTTTGTTTCAGCCTTTGTCCTTGCGAATACCCTGTAAAAAGGCGTGGCAGGCCTAGAGAGTGGTTCGCTACAAGTTTTGATGTATACTCGTGTTAGATACATCAACTCATCCATCAATAAATCATTTCAGTTTTCATTTATTTCATAAGAATAATATTTAATCAATGAGTCAATCAATCAAGCTGATGATTGAATCAATTACGCTGCCGCCGAATTCGAGTGATCTGCTTCCTGCGTGAACTATCATCAGTCAATCAATCAATCAATCATGCTATAGAATCACTTCTGTGGTATACATATATCTCATCTAAATTTCAAACAGTATTACCTAGCTCTTCTGCTATTTATCGATAATAGTTTACCTTCTATGTCAATCAGTCAATCAAAGTTGATTCAGTCATATATTTGACTGATGCGTGGTATCTGCTAGTCAATATTGACTTCTATTGCCCAGCCATTTGATAGACAAGTAGTTTCACGCATACTAACGCTTGCCTATTTCTACACACCCACACACACTCACACACACACACGCAGCTGTGGCTCTGTTTATACAACTACGGCCTTGAGCTCAAGTATCAAGTTTTGAAGTTAACGCATGTCAACAGGCGCAATAAAAAAGGATATTGTGTGAGTGTGTGCTTGTGTGTGAGTCTCGAATGTTCAATTGTTGTAATGTGCATATACTTATGCCACAGGCTGTGCATATATACACACATACATATATACGAGTATATAGAGCTACTACTACATTTGCCTATTGGGTTAGGTTATTAGGAAAGGAGCTAACTTCCGCTGCTCGCATGTTCAATTGCTAGAAGTGTGCATATACTTATATTAAGGACTGTATGCATATACTTATAGCAGCAGCTGTGTAGGCATAATTGAACCAGTAAAAAGATTTTTACTGAATTGTGGCTCATTATTAGGACTTTTCTGAGTAAACTTTAGTTACAGACTGTACAGATTCTATTTACATACTTTTTCTATATACTGTGGAGTGTTAGTTACTCTTATAGATTGAAGACTATGAAGAGACTGTCTATCTACTATCTCTACAAACGGAAGCTTTCTTAACTATATATGTATATTGTATATATTCCACTTGGAACTGAATGAATTGTCAATATATGCATACATTTCCAGTTTCTGCTAAATATGCTATAGACTTGTCCTATATTTTCTTAGTCTATATTCCATTGAATCTACATTGAATATACATACACTCGATGTTTCACCTATCTATATGCTAATGCTTATATTACCGACTGTTGACATAATTCCCCTACAGACTGTAAAGTTTTTTTTCGTTAATATTCCAATTGGAAACTGTGAACAATTGGATATATGTATATTACCGCACACAGTCTAGACCATTCACATACTTCCTGAACAAACTATGCACTTTTTACTCTATATATTCCAATTGGACATAATCAAATTAGAATTAAATTATAGTTTGTACTTACTGCCACGTCCGCTGCCCTTGCGTCGCGCCATTGTCTATCCACTGTTTGTGCGTGTGTGTGTGTATGCCCAGTGTCCAGTGTCCAGTGTCCTGAGTGTATCCTTTATGTTGCTTCCGTTTGCCTGTTTGTTTACAAGGCTCTAGTTATGCGCCGACATCGTGTGAGTTGCCTCGGACTCTGCGACTTGATTGATGTGCAATATATATATGTATATATATATGTTAGACAGTCACGCCTGACACGCCCACTGGTGTGGTGGGGGTGTGTGTGTCCTTGCCACGTTTCTGTTGTCCTTCGTGTCCCTTACAGCCAGGCCAGGACGTCTCAGCGCAAGGCAAAGCAAAGCGCTCGACTTGTTCGCTCTTGTGGCCTGATTCCGTTTGCCTTTATATATGTATATAACTGTATATATATTTGTGTGCTAGTGTAGTAGTGCCATGTGTGTCTGTCTGTCTGTGTGTCTGTGTGTGAGCTATGATGACGTGGCTGTTGCTCGCTTGGCTTCTGGCTGCCCGCAATTCGCAGTCAAAGGCAACATTTTTCCTTTAATACAATTTCCATTTCGATTCTCTCTATATCTCTCTTTCTTTCTCTATATATATAACTGTATAAAATGCTTTAAAATATGTCAAAAAAAGTTTTTACTATGCTTGATTTTTGATTTTTCGTTAAACTTTTTTATATATTTTTGTTGTGTTTCTTTTTGTGGTCGTTTCTTTTGATATGCTTTTTGCGCGTTTTTTTTTGTTTTTGTTGTTTGTTGATTTTAAATTGTGGTCAAATTTAGCCACAAACCACGTGGGATTTGTCTGCTGCTCAAACTTCTCTCTCTTCTTCTTCAGCTTGTTTTGTTTTGTTTTTTTCTGTTTGTTTGTTTGTTTATTGTCGTAGGCCGCGATTTTCCCGTTTAGCCGCGCGCGTGCAACAAGGACGGCAAGCGTCGAGCATGACGTATGACAAAAACAGGCCAAAAGCAATTGCGTTTGCTTTTTTGCGTTTGTTTTTGAATTTGCTTCGCTTTGCTTTATTCGCTTATATATTTTGTAAGGTTTGGGCAACACGTTGCGTATACGCAATGCACAGACTTAACATGCAATTCAACTACTTCAATATATATGCATATATTGATAGTTAAACAAATCTACATGTATTTGTTATCAATTTTCCTGTATGTGTGACACTTTCAATATGGCGCGTATGTGTATGTGTGTGTGTGTTKGTGTGTGATTTCTATTAATATAACTGAAATATATTCGCTGCTGCTGCTCTACGAATTGTGTGTGAAGCGCGCGAATAACGAGAGGCGTGCGTCGACTTCGGCGTTCACGAACAAACAAGACGCGATGTTAATACAAAACTGAGCACTGTTAACACTTAAGTGCTTCGTGCTGCACGGCACAGGCCGAACAAGCGCGCACGAACCCACACACACATAGCGAGCGAGAGAAAGAGAGAGAGAGTGGGAACTTGTATTGAGAGCACGTAAAACCTGCTTGCTGTGCTTGGCCAGCGCTCTCTTCTTCGTGCGCTCACACTCTTTGCCGGTGGCTTTCAATGGCTTTGCGTTTGCTTTCAATTTGTCGTCGCTCGCCTTTGCTTTCAATTGCTTTTGGGTTTTGTTTACCTTTTTTTGTTGTTGTGCGCGCTGCGCATGTTTTTGCTCTTAAAGTGGATTTTCTGATTGAAGGCGTATTTAAGAGCGCGCGCGTCTTGCTTATAGCTTTCGGATTGTGCTCTTTGCTCCCATTGAGTGTGAGTCTACCTGAGTGGATTTTTATTGAATTTGTTTTTTAAATTTATTAAGAAACTCAGTCAAATTCTTGTTTTCAGTCATTTAGGCGGTTTATATGTTGCCAAATTCTGATTTATTTAAAACGTATTCATTAAACCATTTTATTTGCTTATATTAAAATAATTTGTATACTTTTAGGCGGAAAATTTTAATTTATTATTTTCTAATTATTATATTTTGATTTATTAAATATTATTAGTATTTTCGAGTACACAAAAATTGTATTATTAATTTTAAATAATGTTACTTAATTTTTATTTACTCCAAAATTTAATATTTATTTATTTTTCTATTTTGTATGATTATTTTTAATAATTTTTTGTTTGTTTTAGATATGTTTTGGTAATTCTTAAATAAAAGTTATAATTCATTTCGATATTTTTTTTTTTTAGTTCTTAAATTACTGCAGTTTTTGTTCTTGAATAATACTTGGGAACGCAGTTATAAGAACAAACCAAGAACATATTTTAGTATAGTTAAAGTAATAAATAAAAAAGTTTGACAAATGTGTTTTTTGCTTTTGTCGTTTCTTCTTCTTCTTTTGTCTTGATGTTTCATCAAAGGCAATTGAGGTAATACTTTTTTCTGTCGAGGGTTATTCAAAGATGAATTATTTTTCTTGAGTGGGTGTTCAGAGTGTCGCAAAGCCCACACAAAAAAGGCGTGGCAAGTGAAACATTAGGCATTAAATACAGAACAGGGAATACCCCTACTTGGCTTAGCACTGCTCTTTCCTTCTACTTAATCACTTACACAGCTTTCTCTCTCGCTCTCTCTCCCTCTAAATATACATATATATATTACTACACTTCCTCTGTTCCACCTCTTTCCGCCTGCCTCTCCTTTTTCCGTGCTCTTTGTAAACGCAACGGCATCAATGAATCTTGCCTCAGCTGTTTTTTGTTTACATCTAAAGACGCAGGCGCCATTTTGCCGGCCCTTTCCAATGTTCCAGCCGTTCGAATTTCGCATTGGAAAAGTAGGGGAAATTCGGTTTCGAACATGCCCAAGTTTGGCGCCAAATATCGCCGTTGAGTGAATGTGCCACGCAGTCGTGCGACAAAAGCGCAACCGAAAGGAACACGCCGAATCGAGCGCGGATCGAACGTTGAAGCGAAAAATATTTTAAAAGAGGCTCTTGAAAGATACTGAAAATTAAAATAAATAAATAAACGGAAAATAGTAAAAAAAAAAAAATAAACATAAAATAATTAATAAAAATCTTATAAGTACTTACTCTTAAATTGAATATTCAGAAAATAATACACGAATTTAAAAACGAAAAATTCAAATTCAGTGAGTGCAAAACTTCGAATGGAATTTATAAAAAACATTACAATGTTTGTATGCATATTTAAATGTATTTATAATTTAACAATTTAA